ATAGGATGGGAAAATTGATGGGGTGGGAATTTCTCCCAGGTTAAAAGTCTCCATCCCCCAAATCTGGGCGGACTACATGTCTGAATCCCCTCTCATGACCTCATATATAGAATATAGGGAGAGTTGTTCCCTCTATTTATTATTTCTCCTTTTTCTCTCTCTCTGTCTAAATAAATCACTTTCTGCATAACTCTTTGGGGTCCGATATTTACTTAGGAGTGCACCTTGCCCAGCAGGGTCCTCTCTCCCATTCTTGGGTGAGTGAGGGACCAAGAGCCTGGAAGAACACATCCCAGGAGGCAGCTGAGCCTCCCCTGAGCCCCAGAACTGGAACCTGGTCACAATCTTAAATGTGTATGTTCCTAACCACAGAGCATCGGCATATATGAAGTAAATACAAATATGAAGTCAAAACTGAAAAGAAAAATGGATCCTGATTTTTGTCAAGTGACTTAACTTCACATTATAGTATATATTTATTTATTATATATTTCTCCAGTCTCAGCTCCAAGTGCAAGGTTTTATCTTCTTTTTTCTCCAAACCTATCTGTGGAAAAATAAATAAAATGGCTCTTTGAAAGAAATTTTGCCACCCCCCAAATGAGCCATTTTATGTTTGTCCCATCTTTACTTGCTTGAAATCTTCCTATAGCACTGTAAGTCTTTAGCACCATTCTAAACTGTTTTTACATTTTCAAGGATGATTTTAAATTCCTAAAATTTACCTTTTCCCAAATATGTATCTCAGGATTTTTGAGACTTGGGAATTTTGGGTTTCTAAAGCACAGAAAGGCTTTTATCTCACATGTTGAGATACCGTAAGAACCATAGGCTGAGGTACTTTTCTCTGAATTATCAGTTACCACCTTTCCATCTGCTTTCTATCTTCCAAAAGTGTATTGTTATCTCCCCTCTACTAATTGTCCTAGTTTTATAAATGTGCTTGGTTTAAATCGCCAATGTTCTTTTGAAATAAATTTCATGTGGTCTCTTAAAAAGGAGGAGTTTAATGTGTGTAGTGAGGTAGCTATGATAATTCCAAACATTGCAATGTTTAATGTATTTTATGTGATTTTTGTGTTTTTTCTTATTTATTTATAAACATTTATTTTTTAATTGACAAAATTATATAGATATATATATACACACACCATGTGCACCATGTTTTCTAGTGTGTTTACATTATGAAATTGTTACATATAGCCAATTAACGTATTCATTACCTCATGTACTTATCATTTTTTGGAAGTGAGAACACTTAAAATCTCTTTCTTAACAATTTTCAAGAATTCAAGACATTGTTATCAACCACAGACCCATGTTGTACAATGTATCTCTTGAACTTATTCCTTTTAGCTAACTGAAATTTTTGTCCTTTGATTGACATCTCACCAACACCCATCTGCGCCCCCCCCATTCCCAGCCCTTGGGCACCATTAATCTATTATTTACTTCTATGAGTTTGACATATTTGGATTCCAAATATAAATGAGATCATGTTGTCTTTGTCTTTCTGTGCCTGGTTTATTTTACTTAACATAATGTCTTTAAGATTCACTACGTATCACAAAGTATAAGATTTCCTTTTTTAAAAAAAGATTGAATCATATTCAGTTGATTAAATATACCACATTTTATTTATTCATTTATTAACGAACAATAATGTTGATTCTATATCATAGCTAATGTGAATTATGTTGCAATTAACATGGGAGTGCAAATATTTTTTGATATGTTGATACCATTTTCTTTGGATATATAACTAGTAGTGGGGCAGTATAATCTGATAGTCCTATTTTAAAATTAAAAGAAAAGAAAAAAATTCCATTCTGTTTTTCATTATGTCTATAATAATTTACATTCCCACCAACAGTACACAGCGGGGCTTTTTTCCTCGTACCTTTGCCAATGTTTCTTATCTCTTGACATTTTGATCCTAAAGAGTTTGAGGTGATATCACATAGTTGTTTTGATTGCATTAACAATTGATGATTAACAATATTGAGCACCATTTTATATACTTGGTGGCCCTTTTTGTATTTTCTGGAGAAATATCTCTTTAGATTCTTTGCCCATTTTTTAATTAGGTACTTGTCTTTCTGAGTTGTATGAATTCTTTATAAATTTTAGGTATTAATCCTTTTTCAGATACATGGTTTGCAAATGTTTTCCAAATCCCTGGCTTCCGTTTTATTTTGTTGTTTCCTTTGCTCTGAAGAAGATTTTTAGTTTGATGTTTTATTTTTATAATGTTGCTTATTAGTATGGTTTGGCTGTGTCCCCACCCAAATCCCATCTTGAATTTTAGCTCCCATAATCCCCACACATCATGGGATGGACCATGTGGGAGGTAATTGAATCATGGGGGAGGTTACCCCCATGATGTTTTCATGATAGTGAATGAGTTCACACGAGATCTGATATTTTTTAAGGGGCTTTTCCCCAATTTTTCAGCACTTCTTTTTCCTGCTGCCAAGTGAAGGAGGACATGTTGCTTTCCCTTCTGCCATGATTGTATATTTCTTGAGGTCTCCCCCGCCCTGTGCAACTTTGAGTCAATCAAACCTCTTTCCATTATAGATTACCCAGTTATGTATATTTCTTCATAGCAGTGTGAGAATGGACTAATATGCATATGTAGCCTGAGCTTTACCAAAAAAAAGAAAAAAAATCAAATCATTTCCAAGGCTACTGACAGGAATTTTTCTCTGTGTTCTCTTCTAAATATTTTATGGTTTCAGGTGTTACATTTAGGTCTTTTGTACATTTTAACTTTTTTTGTGTTTAGTATAATAAATGGATCCAGTCTCACTAGTTTGCATGTGGAAATGCAGTTTTCCCAGCACGATGTATTGAAAAGACTATTTTTTACCCATTGTGACATCTTATTGCCCTTGTCAAAAGTTAGTTGATCATGTAAGTTTGGACTTATTTCTGTGCTTTCTATTATATTCTACTGGTCTATGTGTTTGTGAGGAAAATAGATTATTGGAAATCAAATTTGAGCAACCATTAAATTTGTTTTCTTTTTTAAAAAATTTATTTATTATACTTTAACTTCTGGGGTACATGTGCACATCATGTATGTTTGTTACATAGGTATACATGGGCCATGGTAGTGGTGTGCTGCATCCATTACCCAATCATCTACATTAGGTATTCCTCCTAATCCTATCCCTCTCCAATACCCCCACCACCTGCTATTCTTCCCCTAGCTCCCCCAACCCCCTGGCCCCTGTGTGCGATGGTCCCCTCCCTGCATCCCATGTGTTCTTATTGTTCAACACTCACTTATGAGTGAGAACATGTGGCATTTTGTTTTCTGTTCTTGTGTCAGTTTGCTGAGAATGATGGTTTCCAGTTTCATCCATGTCCCTGCATAGGACATGAACACAACCTTTTTATGGCTGCATAGTATTCCATGGTGTATATCTGCTACATTTTCTTTAACCAGTCTATCATTGATGGGCACTTGGGTTTGTTCCACATCTTTGCTATTGTGAACAGAGCCACAATAAACATATGTGTACATGTGTTTTTTAAAATAGAATGATTTAATCCTTTGGGTGTATACCCAGTAATGGGATTGCTGGGTCAAATGGTATTTCTATTTCTAGATCCTTAAGGAATCACCACACTATCTTCCACAATGGTTGAATTAATTTACACTCCCACCAACAGTGTAAAAACATTCCTATTTCTCCACATCCTCTCCAGTACCTATTGTCTCTCAATTTCTTAATGATTGCCATTCTAACTGGTATGAGGTGGTATCTCAATGTGGTTTTTATTTGCATTTCTCTAAAGATCAGTGATGATGAGCTTTTTTTCATATGTTTGTTGACTGCATACATATGTTCTTTTGAAAAGTGTCTGTTTATATGCTTTGCCCACTTTTTGATAGGATTATTTGTTTTTTTCTTGTATATTTGTTTAAGTTCTCCATAGATTCTGGATATTAGCCTTTTGTCAGATGGATAGATTGCAAAAGTGTTTTCCCATTATGTTGGTTGCTGGTTTACTCTATTGATAGTTTCTTTTGCTGTGCAGAAGCTCTTAAGTTTAACTAGACCCCATTTGTCTATTTTGGCTTTTGTTGCCATTGCTTTTGGTGTTTTAGTCATCAAGTCCTTGCCCATGCCTATGTCCTGAATGTTATTGCCTAGATTTTCTTCTAGAGTTTTTACGGTGTTAGGCCTCATGTTTAAATATTTCTTTTTGTATTTAAACTTTTCATTTTTAGGTAATTATACATGCATAAGAAGTTGCAGACATAGAACACAGAGGCCTACATCCCCTTCATTCATTGAAGAGGGTGATAGTCCCACCTTTCCACTAAACTTCTTAGAACACTACCACAGAGGGCAGCAGAAGTTTCTAATCACCTCCAGGTGGTGGTAGAAGTCCAAGTACCATGTGCCTCCGCTGACACTACATGGTTGGGGAGTGGCATAGGACATGTTTTATTTGGTGTTGGTGAAATTTCTTGTTTTCCAATAACCATCCTCTCACAATACCTGAGAAAGGAATGGGATAAGCACCTCTTATAGTCAGGCAAAGATGAAAGTATTCGCTCTCCACTCAGTCTTTGCTAATATGTGTGTAGATGGAGACACAGATTTTTCTCATGGCTACGGTAGGAGTAGAGCAGTATCATTATTGAAAAATGTTACCGCTTGTTAGGATCTTCATTTCCTAGATCTTTGTTTAGAAAGAACAACCTTTACTTTTTTCTTGGTGTGACGCTTTTCTGTTTCTAGGTTGTAGGCTTTTCCTATATCCAGTTCAATAAAAACGAAGCAAAAAGAAACCCCACTGGAACTCAACTTCATGTAGTTCTTCTGGTGCAAGGCCTTCAACTGGTCTGCCCTCTTCTCTCCACATTTTTAGGTTGTTTTACAATTTTTGCTGTACATAGCATGAAGAATATTGAGAAGTATGTGTATTACATCTTTCCTAAAACTTGAAATGTTTCCTTTTTTTAATTCATTATTATTATTTTTTTAATTGTAATTTAGGTTCTGGGGTACATGTGCAGATCATTCAGGATTGTTGCATAGGTACATAAATGGAAAGGTGGTTTGCTGGCTTCATCCTCCTATCACCTATATCTGGTTTTTCTCCCCTCATTTTCCCTCCCCACCCTCCCCACCCCACTGTCCCTCCCGTAGCCTCCCCCTACTGACTGCTGTGTGTGATGCTCCCCTCCTTGTGTCCATGTGTTCTAATTGTTCCACACCAGCCTATGAGTGATAACACACAGTGTTTGGTTTTCTGTTCTTGTGTCAGTTTGCTGAGAATAATGGTTTCTAGATTCATCCATGTCCCTATGAATGACATGAACTCATTGTTTTTTATGGCTGCATAGTATTCCATGGTGTATATGTGCCACATTTTCTTTGTCCAGTCTATCAATGATGGACATTTGGGTTGGTTCCAGGTCTTTGCTGTTGTAAACAGTGTCACAATGAAGATACGTGTGCATGTGTCTTTATAATAGAACAATTTATATTTTAAAGTGTGTTCAGTATATAAGAATTAACTTTAAAAATGTTAAGTAAGTTCAAGTGAATGTTTACTTTAAAATAAAATTCTTCACTTTGCACAGTAATTCATTTTGGAATTTCAGTAATGTCTCTCTTAAATATAAGACACGGTACAATTCCTTTGAAAGTAAAAATTTACAGGACTTTTCAGGTGCATGTGATTCCATAAAAGAATGCATATTTGTACTAAAAATTCTAAGACTGGCACTGGAAAGAGGATTTTGGATACTGTCTTTATTTGTTTCTCTTTGAATTTGTATTAATAGTAGAAACTCACAGGTGCCTCGCATTCATCACAGTGTTGTTTGTGCTTTGATCTATAGTTGCAACCTTCTCAGGCACTGAAGGCAATGTTGTTTACTCAACATAAAAAAGTATGGGTCACAGCTTTGCTTGCATTTTCAGCCTGAATATGCTGAGAATATTCTTATAAGATTCTCAGATCATTATTATATCCATTATGCACATAGCTGTTACACTAAATTTAATTTGAACTTTGTTTTCAATTATGCAAAAATCCCTGAGTCTGTAGTTAAACCAGCAAAGTCTGAGTAAGTGTAGAGATAAAACCCATTATTGGAAGAAATACATTCTTACTATTAAAAGGTCACAGTATGCCCAATCTCCAAAAAGGGATGAAAAACAATACTTGTCTTTTCCCCATTAAATACTATTTGTCCAGCTTTGATGGTTATGCCAGGCCAGAGTCCCTTCTTCTGTTACCTTCTTATGTCTTCATTGTTTTAGTCTTTTATCTTCTCTGCCCTGACCCAGACTTCTAACTTTAATACTTTGAGGTCCTTGAAATCCTCATCGCTGTTTTGGCTTCAGGTTGGAAGAGTGACAGCAGTTATTATTCTGCTTTATTTGGAGGGCTTCACCATTTTGGTTTCACCTTGGAGTGGTGACAGCAGTTTTCTACCAAGTTCCACTCTGTGCTATTTCAACTTCCGGGTTCTTGCAGGTAGAGGTTTTAAAAATAAATAAATGTTTATCCTGTACATAATACAATGTACTATATATAAAAATATATGTAGTATTTGAAATGTCGAGCACACTGATAGCAAAACTTGATCAATCATGCTCATGGAGACATTGTCTTTCCTCCTATCAAAGCCAAGCAGAAAGAGAAAAAGAGATGAGGTGGAATGAAAAACTTGCTTTGCCATATGAAGTTTAGAATATTTAGCTTAGTCTTAAATTTACTTCCCTCACAAGTAGCTGGAAAGATTAGAAATAGGATTTTCAATGTCAGTAAAAATTAAGCATGCTGATATTATATTTATAGTTCTAATTGCTTTATATGTGTAAACATATATTGTAAATACATAATATCTATAAATATAGTTGACCCTTGAACAACATGGGTTTGAGCTGCACAGTTTCACTTTTACCTAAATTATTTTTCAATAAATATATTGGATAATGCTTTAAAAATTTGCAACATTTTGAAAAAATTGCACACAAACTGCACAAAATATAATTTATCAATACAATTTAGGAAAAGTTAGGTAGGTCATGAATGCATAAAATATATGTAGACACTAGTCAATTATTATTATTTACTACCATGAAATACACACAAATTTACTACAAAAAGTCAAAATTTATACAAAGCTTATAGACCATATGTGGCATCATTCATAATGAAGAGAAATGAAAACACACATAAAGGTGCAGTATTAAAACATAACTGCATAAAATTATAGTACATTCTGTACTATTGTAATGATTTTGTAGCCACCTCCTTTCAGTATTTTGGTGAATCTGTGTTGTATGTATCCACTAAAAACATATTGTGACTCTTGTCATCTTCAGGTGAACAGTTCATCTCTTCAGTAAATTGTGTATTCTGGTAAAAAATGTTCTCTTACAGTTCTCATGTCATTTTTCATTATGTTTAATGCAATATCATAGACCTTGAATAATACAGGGGATGTATATGCAATGCTACTAGTGATTGAGATGGTGGAAGTGTTCCAAAGAAGCATAGAAAAGCCATGGCATTACTGGAAAATGTTGAATTGCTTGGCGCAAACCAAAGAATGAGGTCTGTGGTCTCTCATCATTTCAAATAAGAGAAACTAGTGTAAGCACCATTGTCAATGTGAGAAAAAAAATTGCTGCAGCTATGCTAGCAGGTACAGAAACCTTGCACTTCTCAGGAAATTCATTTTTTTATCTCATGCTCTTAAGTTAGTATAGAAAAATGTAGCTCTTACATTAGTATAGAATTGTCATAAAGAAGACATATTAATAGACCCTCATATCGTTAAAAAAAAAAAACTACACCATTCTATGGAACTTAAATTATAAGGAAGGTGAAGTATCAAATCTGGATAATTTAATGCCCGCAAAGGATGGTTTGATAATTTTAGAAAAAAAGGTTTGGCCTAAAAATGTCAAGGTATCAGAAGAAGCATCTTCTGTCAACCAAAAGGCAGCAGACGAGTTCCCAGATGCCATAAAAGTCATTGAAAAGAAAAGACTTCTATCTGACCAGGTTTTTAATGCAGCTGAAAGTGCCCTATCAGGGGGTCATAAGGACATTTAAGGCTCATTATCCATGGTACTCTATGGAAATAATTTTTAGCTCTATGGAAGAGAACCCTGATAGAACATCTGGAAAAAATACACTTTTAAATTGGATATCAATATTGCAGAAAAGCAATTAAAGCCACCAAGCTTGAAACCATAAATTGCCGCTGGAGAAAACTGTGTCCAGATGTTGTGCATGACTTCACAGGATTTCTGACAGAGCCAATCTAAGACATAATAAAAGAGATTGTGAATACAGCAAAAGGGTGAAGGATGAAGGGTTTCAAGATATGAGTCTTTGAGAAAATCAAGAATTAATAGACACTACAGAAGAGGAATTAACAGAAGATTGATAGAGATGAGTGTTTCCAACTACTGCCAGATAATGATGAGGAGGAAGATGTAAAAGAAGCAATGCCAGAAAACAAACTGACTTTTGACAATATGTCAAAGGTTTCCACTTATTCAAGACTGCTTTTAACTTATCTTACTACAAGGAGACTTCTTTGATATGACACTGAAACTAAAGCACATGGTGGAAGAAGGATTTTTACCATATAGGAACATTTTTAAAGAAAAAGCAAAAAAAAAAATCAGAAATTATAATTTATATTTATAAAGTTGGACCACTATGCCTGCCTCTCCTGACTTCCCTTCTATCACCTCCACAAATCTGTCCCTGCTACTGTTGAGACAGCAAAGTCAACCACTCCCTTTCCTCCACCTCAGCCTACCAATATGAAGATGATAAGGATTAAGAAATTATGATGATCTTCTTCCACTTAACAAATAGTACCTATACTTTATCTTCCTTATAATTTTCCTAATAATTTTATTTTTAGCTTAATTTACTGTTAGAATACAGTATATAATACATTTAACATTTGAAAGATATGTTAAATGTTTATGTTATGGGTAATGCTTCTGATAAATGGTATACTATTAGTTAAGTTTTAGGGGAGTCAAAAATTATACACAGGTTTTTGCCTTTGTGGGAAATCAGCACCCTTAATTCCCACATTTAATACATAACACATATAAATATATATATCATATATATATATCATAATCAAATAAAATAATAACCAGGAAAATGTACTTTTCCTGAGAAATTAATCTTTTATTAAATAGAAAATATATTTTGTTTTTATTAGTTTTCATTAGTGACTTCTTTTTGAGGTCACAATAAAATCCAAAATAAGGGTCACTTGGAAGTGGAACCAGCAATAAAAAAAATTTGAATATCTAGATAAGCACTGAAATATGACACCCAGAAAATATGCTGTCATACAATAGCTGGATGTGGATGTAAAAGCAGTCAAGGAGGCAGCAAACGACATAGTAGAATTTGGGTAGATTTGGGTGGATGGCTAGGAGATTGGACCATACAATATAGGAAAGGCTAGGCAGACTGCTGTGACAGAAAAACAATCGCTGAAGGTGTCATTTCTACCATGATCATTTAAATCGTAGTAGTGGTTCTAAAGCAGGTGTGGTGATTCATGTGGCAATAGGCTACATGAATAAATAGACTGCATGAATAATAAAATCACCTGGGTAACTACATCAAACATACTCCTACACTCTAGGGAACATATGGGGAAGGAAGCTGATAGACAATAAATCCCTAGTAGGCTTGTGGAAAGAACAGAGGATTATTTTGTTCAAGAGAGAATTATCCCTGTACAGTTTTGCTTTGCTGCACTATGGGAACATAATTTAACTACTATGTATAAGGTAATCTTTGATTTCTTTGGCTTATAAAAACCTTAAGCATGGTGCATTTTCATAATTTAATCCAGCATTTTAAACATTATTAAAATTATTATCACCGTTTGTGCACCTCACTTCATTTTTTTAATCCTGATATTTACATTCCTACCGCAAGTTTCAATGTTTTTGTAAAAATAGGTTTCTCCTTTGTTCTGATTCTCTAAGTTTCTATTTGGATAATATGTTCCTTGCATCATTTTGCCTTCTAACTAGACCCTGAAATGGATCTTGGCACAGAAACATTTGGT